GAAATGACCTAGTCTAATGTAGCTTGAGAATAATAATGGAGAAAGTAATACAAAAGAAGGATGAAACAGACACAGGCTAATTTTATTCCATGTATTAAAAAGAAGTTATTAAAGAGTTTTAAGCAGGGGAGTTCTAATCCAGTAAACACTGTGAGAGACTGCTAGTGCTCCTTAAGGTCTCTGTTCTCCTCTCCTTTATTAGCACACGGCTATACTACATCTTCCAGCCACCTGTGTAGTTAGGTGGGATCATGTGACTCAGTTCTAATCGATGGAATGTGGGTGAAGGTGATATATGCCACTTCCAGCCTGGGGCTAAAAGCTTCTTCCATAACATCTTCTCTTTTCAAAACAACCCCAAAAGCTATATGGTAATAACAGTGATGACTTAAAAAAGAAAGAGGAGGGGCGCCTGGGTGGCTCAATTGGTTAAGTGTCCAATTCTTGATCTCGGCTCAGGTCTTGATCTCAGGGTTTTAAGTTCGAGCCCCACGTTGGCCTCCACACCCGACATGGAGCCTACTAAAAAAAAAAGAAAAAGAAAAAGAAAAAAAAGGATAAAGAGCCTGTGTCCCTGAATGACTGCATGGAACAGAAGTATCCCAACTCCTACTCCATCACACACATACACTGGGCTGTAATGTGAGAAAGTATTATAAACTTCCATTGTGTAAACCACTAAGATTTGTTAATTAGGGCTGTTAGCATACCATCACTAATACAGAAATCTTAATTTCCCTGCCTGCTCTATCAAGAAGGAGTCAAAAGGAAAGAGAAAAACAACAGAAATTTAAAAATCAGTTAAGACTCAACAATCACCCAATGAAAAAACAAAGAACTTAAATAGACATTTCTCCAAAGATATACAAATGGCCAACATAGTAGAGGATGCTCAACATCACTAATCATTAAAAAAATGCAAATAAAAACCACAATGAGTTAGTGCCCTATATCCACCCATTACGATGACTACTATCAGAAAGAGAGAGAAAAAAAATAACAAGGGTTGGTAAGGATTTGGAGAAATTGGCATCTTTGTGAACTATTGGTAGGAATGTAATGGTAGAGAGATCATTCCTAGAGACATGAATTTGTGAAAAATCCACCTATCAATACTATTTAAAATCACAGGACTGAATGGGATCACCTATGAGAGAGTACAAGAGAGAAATAATTTCAGGACAAAGTTCTAAAATGCCAATATAAAAAACTAAGCAAATGAAAGATAACACTAATTCAACTCCAATTTTTCTGCCAATTGCCTAAATTAGATATACAGCCACCAGGTATTCTATTGTTATCTTTCACTGTCCTAAAACTGGCAACACCTTCTCACCTGCTCAAATCTGGACTCACTGCTCTTTTATCAGATAATCAGCATTTGGGGAGTCCTTTTTACTATGACCTTAGGGATGCCCTTTATCTCTCTAGAATGTGATTTCCGGTTTTCTGTATCTTTCACCTTCTCTTTTATGGAGGTTTTTTCCTTCCTTTTGTGGGTGGAGCAAATCACACAACAGCTTTCTGAAGAAGTAAGGAAGAGAAATTTTTGGAGACCTTGCATGTCTGAAAACGTCTACACTCTAAACTTATGCTTAAAAATTTGGCTGGGGGGTGCCTGGGTGGCTCAGTCAGTTAAGCGTCTGCTTTCAGCTCAGGTCATGATCCCAGAGACCTGGGATCAAGCCCCATGTCAGGCTCCCTGCTCAGCAGGGAGTCTGCTTCTCCCTCTCCCTCTGCTCCTTCTCTCTCTCTCTCACTCTCAAATAAAATCTTAAAAAAATTAAAATTAAAATTAAAATATTTGGCTGGGAACAGAATTCTAGCTTGGAAATCATTTTACCTCAGATTTTGAGAGCACTGCTCACTATCTTCTGGCTTGTGAGGCTGCAGCTGAAAATACTCAATCTCTGCAATATGACCCATTTCCCCCACCTCTGGAAGTTTACAGGATCTTCTTTGTCTTACGTATTTCAGACTTTAAGGACATACCTCAGCATCTATACGTACTAGTTAGTTATTGCCCCTGGCTTCAAACCTACTTCTCTACTCTGCTTTGTAACGCTGGGTGGCTGGAACCCTCTAAATCACATTTCTCCTTTGCTAGCTGACTCCCTATTAGACTTGGAGAATCATATAAGGGTCACAAGAAAGACATGAGAAGACTAAAGAGGGAACAGGAGAGATACTCCTTCAGTTCAGCATCAACCATCAACAACAACCTTCACTCTGGCAACAGCAAAGATTCCAGCAGCAGCAGTTGGCCCCAGTTAGCAATTTTTTGCTTTTGTGTTTTTCCTGCCATTCACAGAGCAGCCCCATCAAGGCAGAAGTCGGAGTTTCAGCTCCTTGGGGCCACTCTTCATGTTTCTAAATTAATCTCAGTATCTTTTCTTTGCTCTCCCAGCCCTATGGGGCTAGTAATTACTTCCTACAGTTACTATCTCTATGAGACCTGAGTGCTCCCTTATCACATTTTCAGTTCTCCAATTATCCAGTGTATTGGTTTCTGAGGGCTGCTATAACAAAGAAACACAAACTGTGTTGGCTTAGCACAAAAATCCATCTCACAGTTACGGAAGCCAGTAGCCCAAAATCAAAGCACTGGCAATGCCCTCTCTAAGGCACTAGGGAAGGATCTGTTCCAGGCCTCTCCCCTAGCTTCTCATAGCCTCAGGTATTCCTTTGCTTGTAGATGGCCATCTTCTCTCTATACTTGTGTCTAAATTCCTCTACTGTTATTTAAGAATACCAGTCACATTGGATTAGGGCACACTCTACTGAGCTCACTTTAACTTGATTACCTCTGTAACGACTCTATTTCCAAATAAGGTCACATTCTGAGGTGCTGGAGGGCTAGGACTTCAACACATCTTTTTGGGATAACACAATTCAACCCATAAGATGGCTAAACAATTCTTTGTATTAAATTCTGTTATAATAGGTTGTGTGATCTCCAGTTTCCTGACTAGTCCTAGATTGATAGTATACATTTATTTTCATCCATTTTCCTGAGTACCCAAAGGCCTCTCAATCTGCAAAATGATGTTCTTCAACTCTGAGGATTTTTCTTGTTTCGCTAATATTTCTTCTCTTTTCTCTGTTCTCACTGGCACTTCTGTTAGATGAAGTTGACCTCCTGGACTGACCTTTTATCTTTATATAACCTATTTTCCTCTACTTCAACTTCCTTTCTTCTATGGAATGTTTTTTCTTACTATTATGCTCTAATTTTCAAGAATTCTTTTTTATTCTGAAAAAAAAAATTTTTTTTTTGGTCTCTTATATTAAAAGCTTTCTTCATGAATCCTGATGATCCTTGATTGTCTGCTAATATTTAAAAGTAGGGCCCTAGGGGCAGCCTAGCTGGCTGTTGGTAGAGCATGTGACTTTTGATCTCAGGATGGTGAGTTCAAGCCCCACGTTTGGCATAGAGATTACTTAAAACAAATAAAATAAAAGGTCCTGGGCTAGAATTGCTGCAAGCACAGAAATCATCATTCAGATCATGATCTAAGGCCAAAAATCAAAACAAAACAAACAAACAAAAACTTGCTTGGATTGAATTACAATTATTAAAAGTAATTATGGAAAATGAACCAGACCACAAAAATGTGGAACAGAGCCTCTGTGCCAAGACTGTTGAAGAAGAGCTGAATAAGTCTTTCAATCTTGAAGTTTTGCTTTCAAAATTCTCTTACATAGATCTAGACAATGAACTAGAGTTCAAAAATGATCTGATTGATGACACGGACTTTGATATTCCTCAAGATGATACTCCTCCAACACTGGAAAGCATACTCAGACTGATGATGAAGAGGAGTCTTTTGTTCTTGAGGATCCTACACTGTTAAAACATTGATACTATTGATTCTCACTCCTATGATACTTCGTCTATGGCAACTTCAGATAGTGGGGATAGTACCAACTTAAAAAGGAAGAAAAAATTACCAGATTCTTTTTCATCCCATCAGTCAGTTACGTGACACTCATTTTTGAAGGGAAATTCTGACCAGGTAGTGTTTGCAGCTGACAAAGTGGATGCTGGCTTGCCTACTGAAATTGCAGTGTCCAGTCTGATAGCAGTGGGTACATCTCCTGGATTGGCTTTAATATGTGATCAGAATCAAGCTTTGCAACTGTCTAGGTAACACTAGTGTTGGAGGTCAGTATGGACCCATTTCTGCCTTCAGTATCAGCAATGACTACTCAAGACTTCTCTGTGGCTTTGCTAAAGCAAATGTGGGATTTGGCCAATGGAAAACTTCTTCTAAGATCAATAAGAGATGTTCATCCTCCAGGAACAGCAATATTGCATATTAAGTTTACAGATTATACAACTCTTACAATTTGCAATGACAGCAGAGGCTCTGTTTTTAAATTGACGTTTAAAGACATATTATTATTATTTGAGAGAGAGAGAGAGAGAGAATGAGCGAGTGAGAGAGCAGGAGAGGAGGGAGGGGCAGAGGGAGAGGGAGAAGCAGACTCCCCGCTGAGCAGGGAACCCAACTCAGGGCTTGATCCCGAGACTCCGAGATCATGACCTGAGCCAAAGGCAGACGCTTTGCCTTTGGGCCACCCAGGCACCCTTTGAATTGACATTTAAGAAAGTGATGGGAGTGAGAACATGTGAATGCAGGGTCTGTTCAGTGGTTCCAAGGGTGAAGTTCGCTGTACTGAGCCTCTCCCCTCTAAGCCTAAGTTGAAAGATCATCCCATCACACAGTTTTCCTTGGTCAAGGCATTCTTAACAAAGATACTGATCATTGGATTGAAACAATCCTTGAAAGTGTAGGTGACTTTTCCCTATGGACAGATTGTCCCAGTGTTCCACTGCTGGCGTGACACTTCATGGCAGTGCATAATTACGTGAATCCCATGCTTGACTTTTGCAGAGATGTTATTCATCTGCTACTGGTTAAAAGATGAATCTGGAGCAATTTACTTATAAACAAAAGCATCTTCACCTATACCATGACGTGAATAAACTCACGTACAGTTGTGCTCTTGGACAGTGTGAAGAAGTTCCATGTGACTGATCAGCAGACTCCAGAGGAACTGGAAACAGTGGAGATCTCAGAAGTTCAGTTGGTCTATAACAGCAGCCATTTCAAATCACTAGCCAGCAGAGGAAATGTTAACTAGGCATTGCCTACGGTTGGAAAGAAGGCTTATCAATCCACTAGTAGCTATGATTGTCAAATCTTTTCTTTAGGGACAAAATCTGTTTATGTGATGATGCCGAGAAGGTGGAGAGAGTGGATCATCTCCTGAAACAAGACTGTCTTACAGAAGCCCTGGCTCTTGCATAGTCTTTCCATGAAGGAAAAGCAAAAGCAGTAGTGGGATTATCAGGGGATGCCAGTAAGCAAAAGCAAAAGCTGTGGTTACAGATCAGATGGTAGAAATCCTATTCCAGTATGCAGATCAAGCTCTGAAAAAGTATCCAGACCAGGGAAAAATCTAAGCAATGGAGTAGCATTTTTAGGACAGGGTGCCTGTCATAGTTGCTTACTGCCTGCTACTACAGCAGAAGAATCTTTTATTTAGCTAGATGTAAGACAAATTGAGAATTCAGTGTCCAAAGGAGTGTTTCTGGAGTGCCCTGAGCCATGTATTTTAAGTGACAAATTGGTGGGGATGACCCCCCAGGTAACAAAAGACTGACTGTTAATTTCCAAGATACAAAGTTAATGGAAAATGTGGAAGCCCTCATTGTACATATGGATATCATCAGCCGATTCAGCAAGTGAATTTATAAAAAATTTACTAATATACAGAATATCATTTCTTTATTGATTATACTTACCTCACTTGCCTCCCATCAACCCCAATTATTTACTGAGCACTTTTGGTAAGACATCTCTTAAATCTGTTTTTGTTGAGTATATTTCTTAGGACTGTTCTTTAATGAATGCTAGATTATAAACTCCTGCAAAACAAGAGTCTTCTATTTCTTTGATATCCCCCACAGCACTAAGCATAAGGTTTACATCTGGTAGTTGCTCAATAAATGCTTATTGGTTAAAAAAATAAAATAAAGTAAAACAAAAGTAGGGCCCTAAAAGCTGATTGTAAATAACTTACAACTTATCCCCTTGGGCTGGTTAAGAGAAGCATCTTCTAAGTTGTTACTTGATTGCCAGAATCCTGGGAGCAATACAGGAGAAGAGGCCTTGGTAAAAGTCCCAATATTGAGTACATTTACTTAATTGAGATGTTTTCTATAGGACACCTGGTCTTCGATTGCGTCTAGTGCCCACCCCTCTCTCAGAAACACTCTGTTTTGTCCTCTCAGAGGATAATCTTCAGTCTTCTGCTGGGACAATAAAGAAGGCAAGCACTTATTGCTGGGACAACAAAGAAGGCAAGCACAAATTGATGAAGAGATCTAGGTTTGAGCGCCTTTTTTGCCTTTTTTTTTTTTTTTGCTTGAGATATAACTCACTATACAACTGACCCATTTAAAGCATACAATTCAATGGTTTTACTATATTCACAGAGTTGTGCCACAATCACAATAGATTTTAGAACATCTTTATCCCACCAGAAAGAAGCCCATACCCTTGAGCAGTCATTTCCCATTTCCTTCTAATCTCCCCTACTCCAATCCCCAGGCAACCATTAATTTACTGTCTGTCTCTATATATTTGCTTTTTCTGGACATTTCATACAAATGGAATCCTAAATCTGTGGTCTTCTGTGACTGGCTTCTTTCACTTAGCATGCCTTCAAGGTTCATTCATGTTAAAATATGTATCAAAACTTCATTCTATTTACTCCAAATAGTATTCCATTATGTGGATTTGCATTTTATTCATACATTTACCAGTTGCTGGACATTTGGAAATCTTTCTACCTTTTGGTTATTATGACTGAGCTGCTACTTAAACAGACTTTCAAGCAATCTTTCTATTTTTAGCAACACTCTCACCCCCTCTTCAACAAAAGTACCTGATGCTGCCAATTCATGAGCCTGAGTATTCTTTTCCATTTTTTCTATTTCCAGTTTAGGACTGAACATTTTTAAGCCTACTAGGAAGTTTCTATCAGTCTGTTTGCTTTCCAGCTTCCCAATTTTACTGTTTCTTCCATTCTCTTTACCTGTGTAGTTCAATTCTTTGCCTGGGTGGCTCAATCGTTAAGCATCTGCCTTCGGCTCAGGTCATGGTCCCAGGGTCCTGGGATCAAGCCCACATCGGGCTCCCTGCTCGGCGGGAAGCCTGCTTCTCCCCCTCCCACTCCCCCTGCTTGTGTTCCTTCTCTCGATGTCTCTCTCTGTCAAATAAATAAATAAAATCTTTAAAAAAAAAAAAAATAACCTTTATTATCACCTTGGTGGGCTTTGGAGGGGAGTAAATGCACTTTCACTCATCCATCTTTACCCACAAGTCCTTTCAATTATTTTTATCCTTTATTCTTACACATACATTTTAAGGCTCTGCACTTTGCTTTAACTATGACTTACCTATATATCCCTTAAGTTATATCATATTTTCATCACTCAGTTCAAAACAGTTGCATGTTATTTCTTTAATTCCTGGGTTACTTACTTAGAAGTATACTGTTTAGTTTCCAAATAGCTGACAATTTTCTAGTTATTTTTTATAATTAATTTCCGGCTTAATTCCAACATGTCAGAGCACATACTCCAGAATTAATTATTTCCATGTTTTTTTATGGTCCAGCATATGTCAATTTGGGGAAAATTTCCACAGGCACTGGGAAAAAAATCTGTATTCTGCAAGTGCTGGGTGAAATGTTATATGCATATCAATTAGACTCATTTGTTACTGATGTTGTTCAAATCTGATTTTTTTTTTTTTTGTCTTAGTGTTCTAGTAATTACACAGAAGAGGGTATGCTAAAATATCTCATATGTTGCTTATGGATTTATTGAATTCTTTTAGTTCTGTCAGTTTTTTGCCTACATGGTTGGCAAAAATTAGAATAATAATGCTGTTAAGGAACACTATTTGTCGTTAAATGTGTAAATTGATGTTTTTCTGAAGAGCAGTCTGGCAACGGCAACATCAAAAACATATTCTGAAACCAGTTATTTTACATCTAAAAATTGATTCTAAAGCCCTTAATGTGCACCAAACACTACTTAGCAGCCAAATGGATTTATGAATCTTCATTTAAATCTTATAATAATCCTTTGATTAGGTATCATCCCCATATTACAGAGGAGAAAAATGAGGCTTATAAAGGCCTATGCCCAAAAAACAGTGATGAAGCCTATACTGGAATTTAAGCTAATTCCAGAATCTCTAAAGTAGAAAACAAGATGTAGCATATGATCCTATTTTTTTAAAGTGAGCATGAGTCTGTATATTCCCTGAAAACTCTGAAATACACGTATTAAAAAATAACAGCGATAAATACCTGAGAAGAGACTGCTCATACAATTAAGACTAAACATAACTGAGTTTTTTGGCAGCCAGAAATTAAAAAGACATTTTATTTTTTTTCCTATAACAATGTAATCCTGTTTCTCCCACTGTGACATGTGGCTTACATTAATTTTCCCTCTCATTTCTGACATCAGGTAGAAAAATACAATTTTACATATATCTGTATATATGTATAAAAACACACACTTACACATGTATGTGTATGTGTATTACTGCCTAGAACAGCTTCCTGCCTAGAACCAAAATTATTCTGCCAGTTATGATTTACCAACTACAGAGAGGGCTCATGAAAATGACTCATTTAAAGTATGACTTGAGCCTGCTGTCAATGTAACAACTGCCCTTTCCCCATTCTTCACAATATACATGCCTAAGTTCTGCACTTACATGACAAGACAAAGAACAATGCATCCATAAATATATATATTCTATGTTCCATGACTCATTTCTTCAACATTTTGCTTATCCTACTCTTTGAGATTTTTTTTTTTAAGATTTTATTTATTTGACAGAGAGAGACACAGCGAGGCAACACAAGCAGGGGGAGTGGGAGAGGGAGAAGCAGGCTTCCCGCACAGCAGGGAGCCCAATGCAGGGCTCGATCCCAGGACCCAGAGATCATGACCTGAGCCAAAGGCAGACACCCCTCAACTCTTTGAGATTTTACTTTAAAAATCTCCTATCTCTGATAATTGAGTATAACCTACCAATTCTTAGTCATAACTTCCACAATATGCACTAGGCTAAATTAAAACAAAGAGCTTCAGGGGCACCTGGGTGGCTCAGTCAGTTAAGCATCTGCCTTTGGCTCAGGTCATGATCCTGGAGTCCCGGGATTGAGCCCTGTATCAGGATCCCCACTCAGCAGGGAGTCTGCTTCTCCCTCTGCCCTCACCCTGCTTGTGCTCTCTCTCTCAAATAAATAAATAAAATATTTAAAAAAACAAACAAACAAAAAAACCCCAAAGAGCTTCAGGAAGTTCCAAGATTACAAACTAAAGCCTGAGTTGGAGTAAAGTAGTAGTCTAGAAACAGCCTTATTAAAGGAAATCAGAAACTTTGTAACAAGGACAGGGTAAGGCAACTTTTTCTCTAAAGGGCCAGACAGTAAATATTTTAGGCTTTGTGGGCCACACACAGTCTCTGTCACATAGTCTTCTTTTCTTACAACCCTTAAAAAATGTAAAATCATTCCTGGCTTTGGGCAGTACAAATAAGGTTTTTGAGAGGTTCCAATTAAAATAGTGGATTTAACACATTAGTTTTTTTTTTAAGGAAATTAACACAGTAGGCAAAATATACAGGAAAGCAAGCAATAGCAACAAATTTTTGTAACCTAAAAAGACAGATGGACAACTAGTTACTACCTCAGTGAATTCCAGAAAGGTGAACCCTACCCCAGGAGTTGAAAAACCCAACTTATACCCTGGAATCCTCAAGAGTCAGGAATTGGCAGCACCTGCTACTGCTTAAACTGAGAAAAGAGGGGGTTAAATAAGGAAGACCGGGTGAAAGCTAAGAAGTGGTTAAATCCTTAGAAGTTTCCTCCCCAAATATACCTAATGGTAGGCTACACAACTCTGAACTGGGATCACCAGATAGAACTAAAAATCTGTGTACCCTACCAAAAGTGGGGAATGAGAAATCCAGTCCCTCACACATACACCCCCCCCCCCCCCCACACACACACACACGAGGGCGGCCAAACCTTCAGCCGTCAAGAAAATTGTTTTCCCTCAAGAGGAAAGACCTCCCAGACATCAGGGTTTTCTCAAAAAAAAAAAAGGCTCACTTGGACCACCATGCAATGAAGTTTAAGACCCCATCAATTCAAGCTTTCAATCTCAAGATAACATCCAAGGATTACTGACACCTCAAGCAACATAAAAGTTAGAAACCAATTTAGAAGAGAGTCCCCAAGAAGAAACAAGGGCAAAAAAAAAGTCATTTTTATACCCTCGGAAAGTAGAGAAGAAAATGTATCCATGAAACTAGCAAAGGATACTCTCTATAAAAAAAGAATTTTTAAAGAATAAAGAGTTCTTGGGAAATCAAAATCTTGCTGGAAAAAATGAAAAATTCAGCAGAAGGCTTAGGAAATAAAGTTAACAAAACCTCTCATATAATATAGAGTAAAAACACTAGGAGATGAAAACTAAAGAAGAAAAACAAATACCAAAGGACTAGTCTGAGATACAAACAGAACTAGCAGAAATAACAAAATTATCAGAGAGAGAAACAAAAGGAAGGAGAGGAAACTATTATTATAGACTGAATTATGTCGTCTCCCTGCCCCCCCCATTCATGTTGAAGCCTCAACCCCCAAAGGGGAGGATGAGGAAGAGAGAGGTAACTCCCTATACAGAAAGGCTTTGTAAGGACACAGTGAAAAAGCAGCTGTCTAGAAGCCAGATAGCACCTTGATCTTGGACTTCTTAGCATTCAGAACTGTCAGAAAATAAGTTTCTGTTGTTTAAACCACCCAGTCTGTGTTATTTTGTTATGGCAGCCCTAGGTGACTAATATAATCATCAATGAAATAATTCAAGAAAATTTCCCAGAACTAACATAATTTTGCAGGTTTGAGGGGCACAATGAGTATGCAAGAAAACGCACAAAAATAGATGTACGCCAAGTCACACCATCATGAAATTTCTGAATACAAGAGATACAAAATTCCAAAAAAGCAAAAAAACATTAGGATCAGGAATCAGAATGTTTTCAAAATTCTCA